GGCTAAATAAGTCAAAGGACTTGGTGTTTTAAGTGGTTGCTAATTACATAAGAATCATTCACTATTAGTGTCAGTGATTAAGAGTTAACAGTGACGCTTCTAAGTTTTGACTTTGATAGGTAGTCTGAATAATAAATCAAAGCACTAGAGTTATTGTAGTGGTGGCAAATTTTTCTAAAAGCATATTTTAGATGTCAAAAAACCCATGACTGTTTAACAATAAATTAATTAATTGTGGAATCAATAAAATTCAATGGTTTTGACTTTGAAGTTTCTACAGAATCAGGTAACAGTCAGCATTCTATACTGTTGCATCACCTTAGATCACAATAAAATTGAGGCAAAGAACATAGTGAAAGGCGAGTTTTATTTTGAATGAGAATGAGGATATTTAACATCTAGACTTGGAACTGACTATACCAACTTGATTATGTTCATTAATGCAGGTTTGTTGATGTACGGATGTATTATAAGATAAGTATATCTCAAATTAGTGAATGTGAAGGTGATATAAAATGATTTTTAAAATACAAATCAGTGTTTCCACAATGCTCTGAATTTTTGAACTGGTCCTGTAGGATTTTAACGTAGATGGTTAGCATCTTTACTAAATTATATGTTTGGTAGTCTTCAACTTAGAAGGAAAGTAATTGTGGACAGTTTACAAATTACTAGCAGTATGCTGAGCTCAAAAATTATGTTATTCAGTTTCTCTTCTATTAAAAGTAAATGTCATGATGCAGTATTGACCTTATAGAAGACTTGAAAATACTGTCCCTGTGGTAAACTTAAACAAACTTCTGTTGTTTCAGATAAGTTTCAGAATGTATGTTAGCTAGTTTTAAGGTCCCATGACTAACACTGTTATGAATACATGTCTACCAGTGACATTGTTAGTCATTGAGTCTTTGGATGTGTAATGAAGAAATACATACAGCAGCTGAAAAATTTTTATGAAACCAATTGTGGTAATACCAGTATGCTGCACAAAGCTTTTTCATGGTTTAACATTTTGTATGATTCTCCTAATTATTCAGCAGACTTGGCTACTGCAAATACCAAGTCATTTTCTGACTGTGTAGCTTGGTTTTTGTTAGATAACAGAGCAGAATAACATAAATTATATTTCATTACAAGCAAGATGGCAGTCAGCCACTCTAGAAAATGACTACATTATACAAGATTTTTTCATTGATTCATGCTAGACAAAACTGTCTGAAGATCCTTCCTACTTAAGTCTTCTGAGGTCATGTAACAATGTCTGAGCTTTGGAAGTTAACACAAGTTCACTGGCTCTCAACCTAAATAAATCCAACCCAGACTCAAAAATGTTGGTTGGTGGAGCAATATTTGAAATGGAATTGAAACTTGATTTGCAGTTTTGTAATATGTAATATGTTGTGCGAATATATGTAATACATATGTTTATAATATATCCTTTCTTAAGGGCCACTACGTTCTCGCCCAACTGTGACATTCAGCTGACACTAGTAAGTAGTTTCAGCAAGAGAATGTACTATAATTAATATATGAAGAGAATGTACAAAAGTCTTAAAGACTAACTAGAATAATGATATCAGCCCATGAAAGTATTAGTATTTCTAATTAAACTTCTGAAGATCTCATCACACATTCCTAGGAAGTGAGAGTTAAGGGTATGTTAAGTATATAACCCCCTTATTAGAGAGGAATTCTTCTTCCCATAGCCATTGATAAACACATTGTTTCCCTACATGGAGTTCTTCAATGTCACTTTTGTTGTTTTCATACAAACCCTGGAGGATTATTATCTTTCTTTCCCAATCCTTTAAGTTTGAATACCTTAATCTCCAATCAGGGAAAATGTATTTATTAAAACTGAAATAGGGAGCAAGAAATCTAGTCACAACAAGTCTGTCTTTAGTAGAGAAAAATCTGCAGGGAAATTCACCATTAATTTTAGGCTAGTCAAGTCATAACTCTAGTAACCCATGGGAATTCCATTACTGCTCTTTAGAAGTTTTTACCCAGCCTAAACACGTGTCTGCATTCAGAGATGGTAGTCTTGGTTTTCTTCTTCTTAAATGTCACTCCAATTTTTCTTTCTAAATGAGCCACTGGTTATATCCTTTGTGTTACCTTAAAGCATATTTATTCCTTTTCTTTCTGAAATGTTAGCCAGATGACAAGTGAGACAATGAAGTGTCATTCAAACTTCCTGACCTGGAGTAGGTTTCTCCTTTTTCAGATCCTCAATGTGACCCACATTAAAAGTGAAGTTTATCCTATCCTTAGAGTTTCAGAGCTTAAAGGCCAGCCTACGAATTCAGGACAGTCCTGAGCCATTTTCCTCAAGAAAGCAAGTGCGGGTAGGGCAAATTTCTGTTCCCTCAAATGGAATTATTAATGGCAGTGTTTTTAGATGATGTAAAAATAGTTCAAGTTGAAATTAAATGATATGTGTGCATAGTTATTTATCTGAATGGCCAATCTGCATATGCCTAATACCTGAATTACCCAAGATGTAAAATGAATTATTTACTGTGTGTTTCAGTGAAGTTTTGAACCAAAGAATTTGAAATTCTTAAAGAGCGCCAAAATATATTCTTTTGGAGAGATTTTCCTGATGGTTGGAAAAAATTAGTTATATGTCTTAGAAAATGTTTTCTTCCTGCCTTGAGGGCCTTGTTTATGTTGTTCCCTTGTAAAATGCTATCTTTCACCTCCATTGCCCAGTTAACCCTTCTGACACTTTAGGTTCAGTTTACACCCTCCTTCCTCAGGGATATCAGCCAGTGATTCCTCAGCCTGCATCTGGTTTCTTGTTATATGCTGTTTTAGATCCTTGCAAACATATTCAAGGCACTTACCACAAACACTACTTGCCTATTTTTTTTTTTACATGCGATTCATTTTTAATGTGTCTCCTCCAATAAACTGTGATCTCTAATTTGTTAACTGCACACAGTTCCAAGTGCCTAGCAGAGTGCTTTGTGTATATAGCAGATATTCATTGCCTATTTATGATTAAAATAAATGAACAAGTGTAGGGATAGGATACATTCACCCAGAAAATAATCTACACTTTCCTAATTGTAACTATGATTTTCTAATAGCTACTTTTCTCCAGATCTCTCTATATTCCAATAAAGATTTGTTTTAATCCGTGAAAACCACATTTCAAGTGTTTCTGGTGACCTATTCACTGCCAGATTCAGGCTAGTTTGTACACCATTTTATCCTTTTTAAATCCAGTATAGCTTTGCATCAGTGAACTACCATGATACTTTGTAGCACTGACCTCTGTTGCTTGACTCTCTGCACTTGACTCTCCATTGCTGGTGACCCCTACATTTACACATGCGAGAAGTGTATCTTAGGTTGTATTTTTCAGATCTCAGTAAGGGATTAGGAAAAGTAGGATAGAGGAGGGGAGTGGGTCAAGCAAGGATATAATTTCAGGCAAAACCCTCTAGAGAAGAGCTCCAATCTGATCCCAAAGACAACTGGGCTGTTTGTTATGTAAGACAGCTGGATTTTCATACTTCTTCACTGGTTAGACATTGACTAATGGTGGGGGGATGTGGTACGGTAATTTTTCCAGTACTTTTCTGGCTTTCTACTCTTGTAGGAAAAACAGCCCTACTAGTCAGAGGAGTATCTGAGGGGAGTGTCAGATGTTGGCAATAGAAGCAAAAGTACATAGAAGCTGAGGAAGATGAATTGAAACATGAGGAAAGACTGGAGATCTGGGGAGAGAATGCCAATGGTGTCTGCTAGAGGCTCCACGTGAAACAACAGTTCTATCAAGGTTCAAGATAATTGATGTGCTTAATATGTATTCTTCTACTTTCTGGATCCAATTACCATCTCTTCACAAAAGAATACAAATCTACATGTCTACCCCTAAATATTACTGATTCCAAAACAGCTCTTCAAATATAAGCTGGAGATGTCTAGCACGTAATTACCCATAAAGATCCAGCATCAACAACAATGGACTAAATTAAATGGCTCAACTGTGTCAATGGACTTCTTGCCTCACCTAGTCCACCTCTTAAGACATCTATAGAACTGTCAATGATTTTCTGGCCTCTAAGGAAAGGCTGATTTTGAGTGTGTTTGACTGCATCTTGAAGGAAAGAGAGAAAGGCTAAGAAATTCAAGAGTAAATAAGGGGCATATGCCTGATTAAATGGATATAGAGAAATAGGAAATAGAGAACTTAGGAGAATCTTGCAAGAAAGCATTAAATGTTAGGGTGCAGGTTGGCTGAAGCTTTCTGGAAAGGTAACTAACTAGAAAAAGTGTTGATAACGGATGAGGCAGATGTAAAAAGAAGAATCTAAAATCTTGGTAATATTTATCTTGGCTCAGGTATCTTAATTACTATTGAATAAAATTGCATTATATAAATCTACATCAATTATGACACCTTAATCAGAAGTAAAGGAAATTTTAAAACCATGTAGAGAATTCTATTTCTATGAAATTTTTACAAGAGATTGTATTTTATAAATGTCAAAACAGGTAGGGAACTATAGATAGGCAGATAATGATGGAAGGTGCAAATTTAGCAGTGACTAAACCATCAGGACATTCTATGGGATGGCATCTCCATTTACATGAGCTAAATACCATGGCAGTAGAAAATCATTTACACATTCACTCTTGGAGCCTCAATGCTCTGATGAACAGGCTAGCTTCTCTCCAGTAGCCATGAGACTCAAATGAGATATTTGAACACTATGCTCTTTAAATGTGCTGAATTCCTTCTGCCTTAGCTCTTAAGCCACTGCTGATCTTCTTAGAACCACACACCGCAGGTGCCTCCCTGTGGAAACTGCAAACGTTGACTCTGTCTTCCACCTTTGGATGACTTAGAACATGTTTAGGCTAAGGTTCATTTGTTATCAACATTCAGAAACTGCCATTTCCTTTTCTACCTGCAAAGCCTAATAATAACTTTTTAAACTATTGCTTCATTTGCATATTCACCACACATCCTGCTCTCAGATGTGGAATCTAAAAGCTTGCTGAGAAACTGCCTCCAATGTTGCTCCCTTAACTTTCACTGTGGAAAACTCTGAAGGAAGTTGACTGCACCCTTTAATGGAAGCATGAGGAACCAGGTAAATTGCTTGCCCTTAATAGGCCTTTAGATTTTGAACTGTTCTTTCATCCTTGAGAGACAAAAATGCTATCATTAATTTAACAAAGCTCCTTACCATCACTGAAGTTTTTTAATATTTCCTGTAGTCTCTTTCCTTTAGATATGAATGAAAATGTCTCCATTGTGACTCAGCAGATCTCCAGGATTTTCCTGTGTAGTTTGTGTTTTGGCTCTCAACTGGTGGAAACTGACTGCTACAAGACTGAAGTTTTTAAATCAAACCCAAATAACAAAATGTATTTCGAGCTGAAAAAGGTGGTGGCATCAGGCTGGGGTAGGTATGAGGAATTGATTCATTACCCCAATTGGAATATAAATTCAATGAGTTTAATTACTAGTGGTGTCAAAAAAAGATTTTCACTGATAGCAAAATTCTGGGTTTTTTTCTTAACTTTTATTTTAAGTTCAGTGGTACATGTGCAGGTTTGTTATATAGGTAAACTCGTGTGATAGGGGGTCTGTTGTACAGATTATTTCATCACCTAGGTATTCAACCCAGTATCTATTAGTTATTTTTCCTAATCTTGTCCCTCCTCCCACCTTCCATCATCTGGTAGGCCCCAGTGTCTGGTGTTGCCCCCGGTGTGTTCTCATTATTTAGCCTCCACTTATAATTGAGAACATGTGGTATTTGGCTTTCTGTTCCTGCATGAGTTTGCTGAGGATAATGGCTTCCAGTTCCATCCATGTTCCTGCAAAGAACATGATACCATTATTTTTTATAGCTGTATAGTATTCCATGGTGTATATGTACCACATTTTCTTTATCTAGTCTACCTTTGATGGGCATTTAGGTTGATTCCATGTCTTTGCTATTGTGAACAGTGCTGCAATGGACATACTCATACATGCATATGTTTTTATAATAGAATGATTTCTATTTATTTACGTGTATACCCTAGTCAAGGCAATCCTAAGCAAAAAGAACAAAGCTGGAGGCATCATGCTGCCTAACTTCAAACTATACTACAGGGCTACAGTAAACAAAACAACATGGTACTAGTACAAAAACAGACACATAGACAAATGGAACAGAATAGAGAGCCCCCAGATAAGCCTACACACTCGCAACCATCTGATCTTCAACAAAGTGACAAAAAACAAGCAATGGAGAAAAGACTCCCTATTCAATAAATGGTGCTGGGATACTGAGTAGCCATATGCAGAAGATTGAAACTGAACGCCTTCCTTATACCATATACAAAAATCAACTCAAGATGAATTAAATACTTAAATAGAAAACCCAGCACTATAAAAACTCTGAACAATAACATTCTGAACATAGTAATGGGCAAAGATTTCATGGCGACGATGCCAAAAGCAATTGTAACAAAAGCAAAAATTGACAAATGGGATCTAATTAAACTAAAGGGCTTCTGCACAGCAAAAGAAACTGTTGAGTCAACAGACAACCTACAGAATGGGAGAAAATTTTAGCAAACTATGCATCAGACAAAGGCCTAATAACCAACATCTATAAGGAACTTAAATTTACAAGAACAAACAACTCCATAAAAAAGTGGGCAAAGAACATGAACAAACACATTTCAAAAGAAGACATACACACAGCTAGAATGCCTACAAAAAAGGGCCTGCCATGGGGTGGGAGGAGGGGGGAGAAATAGCATTAGGAGGTATAACTAATGTAAATGACGAGTTAATGGGTGCAGCACAGCAACATGGCACGTGTATACATATGTAACAAACCTGCACATTGTGCACATGTACCCGAGAACTTAAAGTATTATAATAAAAAAGAAAAAAAGAAAACTCATGTTCAAATAAAAATCTGCAAACAAACAAAAAAGAAAGCCTATGAAAAAAGCTCAGTATCACCGATCATTAGATAAATGCAAATCAAAACCACAATGAGATACCATCTTACATCAGTCAAAATGACTACTATTAAAAAGTCAAAAAATTACAGGTGCTGGTGAGGTTGTGGGAAAAAGGAATATGTATACACTGTTGGTGATGTTGGTGGGAGTGTAAATTAGTTCAACCATCGTGGTAAGCAGTGTGGCAATTCCTCAAAGAGCTAAAAACAGAACTACAGTTTGACCCAGCAATCCCATTACTGGGTATATACCCAAAGGAATAGAAATTGTTCTCTCATAAAGATAGCAAAATTCTTAAAGGTACTTATTGAAGATTAGCAAAACTGTTAATTCAAGCCAGGAGTCGTTCCTCATAAAAATTTAAGTAGCTTTGACCTGCTGTATGTTGGAAAGGCCAAGACTCAAGAATCCAGACTTTTTGGACAGAATAGGTCCACATCCCACATATTAAAAGAAAGAGTTGGTGGGGAGGGGACAAGTGTGAGGTAAAAATGCATGTGGCACTCTGTACCTTTGGGATTAAAGAAAATAACCAACCCAGGGTCTAGTAAGGAATGCATTTGCCAGAGCTGCAAGCAGGATTACTATGGTTTATACCAGAACCTCAAATACAGCATCTCCCTTCCTGGACTTCCACGGAAACTCCCTCTCATCATTCTTGGTCCTTGTTTTACTTATATACTTATGTTCAAAAAGACTTTAAGAAGCAGAGGTAATCATTTCCTCCCTCTTTTCACATTTTTCTTGGATGACTAAAGTCTCATTCCACACCAAAGAGGATGTTTATTCCAAAGCTGCCTGTGGTATGGAATAGGCTCCAAGACTATCCCACGTACACAGGATAGGCTCCAAGACTATCCCACGTACATCTGTGCAAAGGGTAGCTCAGCTGACCAGTTGGCCAGGACATGGCAACAGCTTTCACTGGAAAACACTGAGAGGCATGCCTATTCCATACAGCACTGAGAGGGGCTATGGACAGCTAGAGACTGAGTCTTTCTACTTCTCATTCCAGATTATCATCAGCCTGGACTCTGAGCAATGCTGCAAGAGTGACAATGCTAAAAACACCCAACACCTCTGCTGCTTTTATTCCTTTAGTATAAAGTCTAATCATCAACTGAGCAGCGACTACATGTTGTGAATTCGTATCTAGGCACATATCTCTTCTGTGGGATCATAGTTAACTGCATCCAAAGAAGGGGCCGTTATCTGTTATGCTCTGGAGGAGCAGATGTAGTTCTAGACTCTCAGCTGAAACATAAGTAAACCAACTAATGACTAATACTGTCCACTTGCTTCCTGAGGCATGTCCTTTGTTTCTCCCCATTTGGACCCTCGTATTGGATACTCACTTGTTTTATTCATCATCTTGGCACTGTTTATGCTGGTTTTGCTTACTTCCCAGACTACCAATTTCCTTCAGTGTCTGTTACAAATTAATCTAAATCCCATTTATCTTCCAAACTTATATGACTCCTAGTTTATGATGGGGTTTTTTTATTTGTTTGCCTGTTTCTGCTGAATTTTTAAAATATGTATTAATTTTTAAGGTAGTCAAACATTTTAATCTTTTTCTTCAGGTTTCTGGACTTTTAATTTTGTTTAGAAAAGTCATCTGTAAAATAAAATTAACCTTTATTTCCTTCTGCACCAGGAATTTATTTGTATATAAGGGGTGAGGTAGCCATCTAGCTTTTTTGTTTTTTATTTCTACAAATGGCTGCCTAATTACACTAACATCATTTTTACTGATTCTAATACCACTTTTTATTTTATGCTAATTTCCCATGTATATTTGCATATGTCTCCAAATCCTCAAGGCTATTCAGTAGATCTGTCTGTCTCTACCAACACCAAATAGTTTTCATTATTCTGGCTAAATTCATTCTTTTATGTCCTTGTTCAATGTATTTATTGAGTGCTTACTGTATAACTGGCATTCCTCTGTGTGTTGGTAATACAAGAGACACATGGTATATTGTAGTAGCTAGCAGTACTGCTCATCTATCCCTCATTGTGTGGATTCTTTCTGTTGATCACTTTTTTGTGTGTATTTTATATGATTATTATTTTTATCATTTGGTCATATTATAGAAAATCTTCCTGGTATGTTTATCAGGATTGCTTTAACATTCTGCCTTAATATAGAGAGAATTGATATCATTTAAATATTGCATATTCCTATCCAAAAAGAAAACAGTTATTTTCCATTGTTTCCAGATTTCTTGTATCTTCCTGGGTAGAATTTAAAGCTTTCTTTAGATAGGTACTGAATATTTTTTTGCTAAGTCTCTTTCTACGTATTTACCTGTTTTATTTTTTCATAAATGGTATCTTTTCCTCATTATAATTGTCATTTATTTTTGTATTGAAAACTACTGATCTGTATGAATTAGTTATTTAATCAGTAACTATGCTATTTTTTCTTGTCATTAGTAGTAATTTTTAAATCAATTGTAAGTTTTATCAGATATACATATATCTACCTATTATCTGCAGATAATTATAATTTTACTTCTTCATTTATGATTTTTATATCTTTTATTTCTTCCTTTAAATGTAAAGGAATTTAAACATTATCTTCTGTGGGGTAATGAGACAGAAACATAGACAAGTCTTATATTCTTATATCAACTATCCTGTTCTGCGACTTGAGCAAGTCACTCAAACTCTCTGGGCCTCCATATTTTCATAGGCAGCACAAATATTAGATGATCTCTACGTTCTTACACAACTGCAATATGTCTAATTTAAAAAATCATATTTGCCACCTTTCAATCACAATGATTTTTAGGTTAAATCATTGTGGGTGAATTAGACAGGTAGTTGCTACTAATCTTATTTCTAGTTTTTCAAAAAACTCAGTCTGGGGCCAGGCGCAGTGGCCCATACCTGTAATCTCAACACTTTGGGAGGCTGAGGCAGGAGGATTGCTTGAGCCCAGGAGTTTGAGACCAGCCTGGGCAACATGACAAAACACTGTCTCTACCAAAAATACAAAAATTAGCCAGGCATGACAGCGTGCATTTGTTGACTCATCTACTCAGGAGGCTGAGGTGGGAGGATTGCTTGAGCCCATGAGGTCAAGGCTGTTGTGAGCCAAGATCATGCCACTGCACTCCAGCCTGAGTGACAGAGTGATACTCTATCTCAAAAACTTATTAATAAAAAAACCTGAGTCTAGGATATTGGCCAGAGAGTGTAATATATTGTCACTTCCTTCAGCTTTCTCAGTGCCCAGGGTTGAGGAAAGAGAAGGATGACAGAACAATAAGAGCAGTTTTAACAGAGGGAAAAAAACTATATCTATCTATCTCTCTAAGTTGTAATAAAATAAAAATTAAAAATCAAAGCAAAAGATGTGCCTTTTTGATGAGCTGGCCAGTTTAAAATATCCCATTAGACAGAATTCCACAGGCTCTCTGACTCAGAT